TTTTTTTTTTTTTTTTTTTTTTTTCCTTGTAGCATTTTATTGTAAGTCAATTTCTATACCTATTATTATTATTTTTTTATATTTGTTGTACAATGGGAGGCAATTCTCTCACATCTTTTATCTCACCCCATCCGTATGCCATTCTATTCAAACTCAGAATCTTTTGACGAAGAGAAATTACTACTGAATTATTTAGATCATTGATAATCTCTATACCTATTATTATTTTAGGTAGGAATGATAATAATAAAAACAAAATTGAATCATGCCAATTTCCAATCTATCAGCTTCTTGTTCTTGAAGCTGAGAAATTTGGAAACATGATGATACTAAAGATGTGAAAACCAAATTTTGTTGGGAACCAACTTCAATATCAAGCATGATCTCTCTAATTTAATCAACAAAGACTAAAGAGAGTTGCAACACAGCAAGTCTAAGACAGTTATAAAATATGATACAAGACAGAAAAACCTATTCTGCAATGTTCCCCAGACAATTTTCATTTGCTACGGAAAAACTGTGAGGGCTAAGGGCAAACTATTAACCATCACTGGCAAACTTCACCCAAAAAGAAACATCTATACCTGCATTTTGATAACTTCTCTGTTTCTCGATAACTTGGTGCTTTAGCGGAAGTTATAAAAACTACCACACAATACACAACTGCTATTTCCGGTTCTGTTGCTTATATTAGTGATAATGGCAAACAACATGATGCAAAGGATCACAGCAACCGTAAATGCCTCTCTGAGTCATTGGACTGCGTTTCTCTCTCGGCTTCATTTCTCTTGTGATAATGATCAGTTGGCAACCTGGCAGAAGAAGAGTGAATCAGAGAACCAAAAATACTGTTAAAAGATAGACTACCATGGTATAATGAGGGGAAATCAATTTTTTGGGAGACATAAAGTGAAACATCTTACCATTTAGTGCGCATGAGGTAAGGAGAAGTTAAGAATTGTGCAGACACGATAATTAAGCACTCAAATGGGTTCAATCTTTTAAATACGGGGAAGGTAATAAAAGAAAAGAACATAACTTCCGTTTTGATAATTCTACCTTTTACAAGGGCTATACGTAGTCCTTGAACAAGGAGTTCAGAGTTAGGTTGACGGCAGGGGAAATTTTGAAGGCAGCTATTAAGTATCAAAATTATATGGTTTCCATGATCATTTGAAGTCATTTCCAGCTTAAAGTACAAAACTATTTGAAAGAAATAAATTACCCTAAATGCAAGGCGGTGTCTGAGTCTCCCCTTTCAACTGTGTAGTTGCAGGTCACATCAGAGCTAGCAACACCATTGTTTGTGATACAGTTCTTCCTTTCAATAGGATAGTATTCGAGATAAGATGGGACTGAGTGGTTGGTTGATGGAAAGAAACCCCGAAGCTCCTCCACCTGCAAATATTGTATACAGGAAAGTATTATCTTTATTATGGTTGATTCTGTGATGATATAAGAAAGTCAGTTGCAGAAACAGAAATGTTATTTGCCTGTCTGCGCAAAGTCTCATTCTCCAGCATAGCCCGCTGCTCCTGGGAACAGACATTAAAAGAAATTAGTTAGACAAAATTTATAGTTTTCTATCATGTGGCCAGTTATAAATGAACCACATAGCATGAATGTTCATCCCTGCAGCAACTGTCAGATTCTCAGTGCCATTTCACATGCTTCAAGCTCTTGCAACCAAAATCAATATGTTGCAGATTTCTTAGACCTTCCCCGTACTTGTAAGCATAAATGCATAACCAAGTACAACTCCAATACATATTCTTATAATTCTCACTTTGCTTTTCAAAGGATTTACGATTGACATCAGGCGTAACTTGCTCAATAATATGGTTTCTAGATCAAAGAAAGAAATATAAATAGTAATTACGATGCAAAGTACCTGCACTCTTGATTGCTCTAGTTGTTCCATCAGCAATTGTTCCTGAAATGGTAAAGTTTCTGTAAGGCTTCCTTATGTTTGACAAATTGTTAAATTGCACATGCAAGAGCAAATCAAATAGCTTTGATGAATTAGAGAAAATAATTATCTCAAGAACCTTTCTCTCCTTTACTGATAACAACCCCTCATTTAGTTGCTGCTCTAGGAGCTGAAGTTCTTTCAAGCTCAGGCCAGTCAGGTCCTTACCCAACAGCCATCTGTAACAATAAAAGTTAGCTAAAAGAAATATATCTGTGTTGAAAAACCTAATAGTTCAAGCTCTTAAAAGAGGACATACAACTGTTTCTTTTGTAGTTTTGCTAATTCATCCTTCAGATTATCTGTCTCCTTAGAGTCCTGCTTTTGAAATCAAGTTGAGTTGAAACTGTTCAAATAAGTCCATGAATTTACAGGGCAACTTTGTAAAGAAGATAAATGAAGTAGGACACATGAAAAAGAGTAAAGGGTCAAGAAAAACAAGTACTAATGTAATATGTATTGGTCACAGACACTTGAACTAAATAGAAAACTCTCACCCTGTATGACAAACTCCCAATTGACTATAATTTTCCACCAAAAAAATTCATGAATTGTGTCTTGTTCTCACCACACTAATGATTCCTTGCCGTCATAATTCAATCTTACGTTTCCTTTTGGTATCTCTCAGTGATAAGTTTTAGCATTTTCAATCCAAAAAAACAGAGGTGAAGCCTTCAACTAAGAATTGGATCGACAGTATAAAAGGAATCAAAGAAAAACAAAAAAAAAAAAAAGAAAAAAAGGCCAACTTCATACCAATTTTTTTGCTTTCTGATCAACAAAATTCTTGACAGAAAAAGGCCAAGACAATGAAATTGATGGGGAGAGTACGTGGTTTTACCTTTTCTTTTTGTTATTTTTACATTGCTTTGAGATACTTCTTCCCCTTTTCTATTAAAAACTCAATCTTTTTACATGCCTTCTTATATGTCCTTCTTCATATTAACATTTGATGACAGTCAAAGCAACATACAGATGGAGAACATAAAAGGACAAGGGAATGCATTAAAACAGAACATTAAATAAAACAACAAAGAGATGGCAATTCACATTAAGCAATTTTAATATGCCTAAAAGATCGGATTTTGCTTGCATAAGATAAGAACAAATTTCAAATTACCTCTGCCTTGTATTCCATGGTAGGAGACTCTGAAGATCCCTGACATTTGTTGTATCTATTGAGCGTTTTCTTCATTCTACAGAAATGATCAAATCACTGTAAGTCATCATCTTTAGCTCAAAAGACACAGGGACACATTCCCTTGGACCATCGAAATAAAATTCATTAGAAACCTAGTTAACCCACAAAGACAAAGCAGAATATTCAATAATCAGATATAAAGTTGAAATCTTGCAGATCATTCTACTTATGTTTTTCTCAAAAAAAAAAAAAAAAAGGTTATGGTGAAGTTCAGTTTATAGAGTCCAAACAAAATGCACAGCCTTAAGAACAAAAATTCGCCTCCTTTTATCTTACTGGAAACCAAAAGACAGAACATCCACCTTAGAAAATGTCCAAACTCCCAAAATACCATCTCAACAGATATCATCCAGACAGACATGCAGAAATTCCACAAAATACTCAGAATTCCAGTAAAATTCACCAATGGATTGTTGAAAAAATGGGTCAAAGAACGCGAATAACAAACACTAGCCCGACTAACCTCTCTAGTTTTTCTTTTTTCTTCCTTCTTCCTCTAAAAAGATCAATTTAATCATATAACAAAACACCAAAGGCCACAGAAACCCAGTAAAGTCCAAGAGAGACAATCAGTTAATTCCCAATAGATAATCAGAAAGGAAAAGGCACATGCATGATAAGAAAATCCAAAAAATTTTAAAAATTGGAAAAAAAAAAATTCTTTTGCTTACCCAGAGCTACCAAACTCAAAGAGCTTGCCGGTGTTGGAGAAGATGATAACAGCAACCTCAGCATCGCAGAGAATGGCGAGTTCCTTAGCCTTCTTAAGCAACCCAGAACGCCTCTTGGAGAATGTGACTTGCCTACTGTTTGCATTCTCTATTCTCTTTATCTCTATTTTCCCTCTACCCATCGTCTACCCTCAACTCTTAGCCCCAAAACCCAAATTCCCAAATGACAAGAGAAGCCAGAAAAATCTGTTCTTTCAATTCAGTGTTTGAACAAAAACCAATCCTGACCCCCCACCACCCCCCCTTTTTTTATATAAAAACAGAGCTCTTTCCTCTTTCTTTCTCCCCTTTCCTTGTTTGGTTTGGGGAAAAAAACAGAGCTTTATTTGGATTTGTATTGAAAAATAAAAAGAATGAAATGCTAAATTTAGAGATGGGATGATAAAGGAAGCGTTTTGGACTGAAAACGGGAAGTTTGCATGGCTCTGTATTCTATTTAGAGTGTGCTTGCATGATTCTCTTGCCACATTTGGAGTCTTGAGGTGCTTACATGGACCCCACTTTTGTTCTTATTTCACTAATGTGGGTCCCACTTGATATTTTCTAGTTTTTTTTTTATTTTCTTTTTCAAGATTTTTTTTGTGTGGATTAAATATTGTTAATTCTAATTTTTTTAGTGGTTTGTTCTTTTTATATTTTTTTTGTTTTGTTCAATTATTCTTTTTACTAAAAGTATTAAAGGGTGCTGCATATAGTAATGAAACTGCCAAATATGGAGAAGAAGACAGTGGGAAGATTGAATCTTTTTCTTTTTCTGGTTTTTTTAGAGAGGTGCCTGGTGGGTCTTTGTGAAATCCAATTCAAGTGGGTTTTCACCTTTATTTTGGTATTCTTTATTTACTCGGCTAGATTACACAAGGGCTTTTTTTTTTTTCTTTTTTTTTTTTTTTGAAGTTTGAAGTTTACATTACTATTGATATTTTAGTTTGAAAACCTAAAATAGGGTTTAGATTCATATCTTTTGATAAATACAAAGAGATTTTAAAAAAAGAACTAATATTATGCATGAAATTTTATTTGTCATTTTTTTGAGAATTTGATTTTTCATTTTTGTTTGCTAGATTTAGTAGTAGTTCTTTATTGTTACTTGCCAATCCTGGGAAAGTATAATGGTTACCTTGAATTTTTTTTTTTTTTTTAACTTTTTTTTGATCTGCTTGTTTTAGCAGCTTTTTTATTACCTTATTAGGTTGGTGGAGCTGCCAAATATAGAGGTTTACTTAAGGCAGGGCTACCCTTTGTCTAATTTTTGGTGTTTCTGAGGAGATTTTGCTGTGAATTCCCATTTGGATTTCAAAATCTTTCCCCCAATTTAGTGATTTTGAGTAGATATGGTTTAAGAAATACCATATTTAGTTTTTTGTTGGTTTGCTACCTACCACCCTAAATTGACCAGCTTACCATTTTAGAATTTTGTTCTTCAAAATGGCTTTTCTTATCTCTCTAATAAAAACTACTTTTGAGAAAAAGTTTCCCCTAAAAATGTTAAATTTTAGGGCCAAAATTTACCTTAATTGTAGAACTTTATTGGGAAATAGATGGTATTCTGTGATGTTTTTGACCTGTTGTTAATGGATTTGAATTCACTCCAATGCAGGAAGAAGAAAGTTTCATGAATTTTACATCACAAGCAAAAAGATCAAAAACCAACTAAGCTTGAGCAGATAGCCTTTATGATATTAAATTCTTTAGTTGGAGGTAAAAATTTTGACAGAAAACATTATCATCTTCATGTTCTAATAATCATAAATCAGGAACACAATACTTTTTATCAAATTCTCAGATCCAATATAAAAACAATCCCAATCATCACTTAGACTCGAACAAGAACTACATAACACCTGAAAGCAGTATTCAATTGAATGCAAATGCACATCATTGTTTAAAAGAAAAGAAAATGTAAATGCACATCTACTGGTTCAGAGACTTTGGAACATGCATGCCACTCCTAGTAGTACTCAATCCACTAAAATTTTCTAAAATGAATATCTGCCACTCCTAGTGGTACTTAAGCCACTAAAATTTTCTTAAATGAATATGTGATTCTGTTTCTATTTTTTTGTGTTTAAAGCTATCCTAATGTATCAAAGCACAAGAATTCTGATATTGTTACAACAAAAACAGGATCCCTGGTGACTAGTCCTAACTTCACTTCAGGAGTGCCATAATTGTACAACAATTGTTCAAGGTTACAATTTTGAAAGCTTGTGAGAAGTGTAATGGTACAGTACAGTACTCAACTTACTCCATATGAGATATCAGCTCTTGAAGGATGGGTGGGTGCATATCTTCGACTCATCCATCTTTTTGCATACATAAATAAAGTGACAATCAGGATCTTCCAAAACAAAGTCCGGGGGAAGGAAACCCTTTTCAGTTGTGGGAACAGGTTCCAAGTATGATTTCATTGACGAACAACCTGCAGGACTGTTGAAATCTGGTCTTGCTGCAAATGTTTCAAGTAGATCAGAACAAAACCAATGTTTCCTTCTCTTTAATGAGCAATAGAGCTATAACAATTAGAATCTAAACAAAAAAATCAATGGACTGCTGATGAGATTCATATGGCTCTAGTAACAAAGAATTGTAAAAAGCATGGCAATTTAAGATAAATCTTAGATGAAAGTACATGCCACTAATAGAAACAAACAGTTATAAAACATAAATTTGCTAATATGCATAAAGCAAGGTCTAAAACAAAGATGCAGTCTGATAGCCATATAACTTTTAAGATGATCAAAGACTAAATAGAAAGGAAGATACTAATACAGCTAAAAGAAAGGACAACAAAAACTTACGTATGACATACAGCTCAATCTTCCAATTATATACTGGTCGGTTCACATGGGGCATCCTCACCGTTGGGTCACCATAGGTTATCTGTTAACCAGAATTCGGAAAAACATTTATGAACTTTCAGAATAAAGGTAAGTGCAAAGAGAGAGAAATTCATCTTTCAGGATATGGTTACCAACATATATGTCCCGCCAGCTTTAAGAAGCCTAACAAGAATAACCGACAAAAAAGAAGAAGAAAATAATAAGGAAAAAGAATCAGGAAGCAGTTTTGTAAGTTAAGCAAACACATGCATTATGAAGACTGAACTTTTTGACAAGACCAACAATAGGTGATGCATAAAGTAATAGGTTTGAGCATGGAAATTGTAAAAGATTAAGGCTTCTGGCAAATCAAAATAAATTGAAAATAAAAATTCAATCTATAAATGCCAGTAAGTTTGCAACCTGCTCACTTCACCCAGCATTCGAGCGGAACTGATTGGAGCATCAGATCCACACTAAAAATCATAAAGACAATTTAAGAATCAGATGCTGTAAGATGAATGAATTTAAGAACAGGAGTGTTTGGGAAGACATCATACCATCAAAGAATCAAGAGTTCCTATATCAAATTTCAGTGGCCCATCAGAACAGATTCAGCAACAACAAGAATGACTTGTTAATTGAAGAACTTGATTAAGATGGAAATTAGCAACTTTGGATGAGGTGTTGGAAACAAAGGGGCAACATACCTTTATCAATGATGCTGTCGAAAGACTCATCTGGAAAACAACTCATATCCCTAACATCCATTTGCATATCTATTTAGGTTTGTTAGGAAGCAGCAGAAAAAATAATAATAATTCAGAGGAAGAAAGATGGGGAAATAAAACAGAACAAAAACAAGGCAAACAAAGCTTTTTGAGACCAAAAAAAAAAAAAAGAAGAAGAAAATAGAAAGAGATAAAATGCGACCAAGTTCTCTTTGCAGGATACATTTCAATTGAGGAACAAGCTCATATTTTCTTCTCATCACCTCAATAGCCACTGAGGAGATGTCAATGTTCATCACATCTTCATATCCATCCTCGATCATATCCTCTGACATAACTGCAAGCATGAACATTAAAAACCAGCAGTCACAAATTTTAGGCCACCATATTTAAAGCAATCATATAGAAATGCAAGGAAAAAAACCTAGATCTTTTTCCTTAACTAAATTTGTCTGCTAGAGGCATGCTATGATATTGAAATCCCATTCTTCACAATTGACTATAGAAATATACAGCATGCCAAAACAAATAAAATTGAACTCTTTGAGTCCCTATTGAGTTCAATTCGCTAACTTCGTCCCATACTCCTGAACAGTGAAACAGAGAAAATTCATGAACAATTTCACCATTCAATCTTAATCAAAATATTATATGGTGTACTAATACTTAAACATACTAACACTAAGCAAAGAGAGACGTCAAACAAGATAGAACTCTCTTATTCAAAATGCCATTCCTCATCTCTCTGATACACTTCCTGGGTAATCAAACAAGATCAATCACCATTCTCGTTTTTGCACAGCAGTGAAAATGAAAACCAATCCAAAAAAGAAAAATTAACAAAATTTCTCTCATTTCAGGTTCTTAACAAATTCAATTCTATACCTTTTCTATCTCACTTTAACAACAGCAACAAGCAGACCAAACGTTAACAGTCTAACAAAATACAATCCAAACCAATCCAAAGAACAAAAAAGGATTCATTTTGTACACATGCATACAATTTTATTCTTGTAGCAGCATAATTTGATGCTTTACACTGTATACACAGTTTTCCGGATAAATAAATTTGCATTTTATCCCAAAAAAAAAAGAGAGAACAAAACAAAAAGAAAGAATAATAATATAGACATAAAGAAAAGAGGGGGGGTAAGGCGAAGTTTAGGATTTAATTACGAGCATTTCCACAGCCGACCATGAGCACACGAGCAGAGGTGGGAACATACTTGCGAACAAAGGGGCGGAGAGAGGAGTAACGTTGGTACCAGTCGAAGGCGCCACCTTGCTCCGCCACGTACCTGGCGTCCCAGTAGAGTGCATCGCCGTAGTTGTAAGTGTTGCAGCTAGACACATCTCTGAACATCTTCTCCTTCTCCTCTCTCTTCTTCCCCTCTCCGATCTTTTTGCAGGTTTGGTAAAGGAACTGAAGAAGAAACATGATGCGGCTGTTAATGGGCTCTGTTCTGGTTGGCTGGAAAGTTGTTGGACTTTGGGGTTTGGTGAGGCCCGATGTGGCTTATTTCAAGTGGCAAAACCCCTTTCTTTAAGCCCTTTAACTTTCACACTTTTTCCTTCTTACACCTCAGCACTCCAAGAATTACTCTGTTTGGTTCACTTAATCTCCACTCGTGTTTGACATTTAAGCCCGAATTAGTTTTTTTTTTTTTCTTTTTAAGTCTAAAACTTGAAATTTAAATTGCCATATAGGCTCAACTTTGCAAGTCATAGCATTTGTTTTAGTTATCTTTATTCTTTTATTTTTAATTTAGAACCAATTAGAATTCCCTAAAGTTTTTTAAAGTATTTAGAGAAAAAATGATTCTTTCATTTTCAATGTTCAACCTTTGTCTCATTTGTATGGGCTTTTTATCAATTTCCTTTTTCTCTCTTCATCCCTTACCCTCTTCCGCCTCTTTTACCTTTTGATTTTGTCTAATTTGCATAACTTTTTATCAAATTCCTTTTTCTCTCTTCATCCCTTACCCTCTTTTGCCTCTTTTTCCTTTTTGATTTAGGTATTTCCTTCTTTCCCTTTTGGTATTTTTCTTTTTCTCTATGCAAGTTTCCATCCTCTTTTGTTTCCTTTTTCTTTCTTTCATTTTCACTCCTTCATCTTTCCCTTTCTTACCTAACCTTATCTTTCCTTTCTCTTCCTCCCCCTTGTTTTTCTCCTTCATTTCCATATCATCTCTTTCAAGTTAGCTTTGATTTTTAGTAGCATTGATGATCATGGAGATGATGCTTATTCATTCTCAAGAGTTGACTGAAAGGTATTCATTACTACGTTGGAATGTTTGACCAAGGCACCATATGTGAATGGCAGAAATAGTGCCTTTAAAGGTTGTCATTTGATATGTTCACTATTTTTCTTTAATTTTAAATGAATTTTGAAGTGATTTACTCTTGTTTTTTTAATATTCATTAATACTTAAATGTTAAAAGTGTGTAATATACAGTTGTGAACCTTTATTTATAAATGTCATATGACTTTATTTATCTTCATAAATGCCATGTGGCTTATGTTTGATAAATAAAAATATATTTTTGTTAAAAAAAATTATTTACTTAGGTTAGATTCCATTTGATTAATGGACTTGTCAAAGGCATCAATTACATTTCGAAGGGATAAAATTAACCCCCAGAACTAAAGAGTACAAGGAAAAATTGATCAAAATTTAAAACTAAAGGGGTATTTAATTGATTTAACCACTAAAAACACATTAAGGATTTTAAATACGGATTTACACGTGTCACCATAATATTGGCCATTTGACATATTAAATTACGATACTCACTTAGTAACGTCAAAATCACAAGTGCTATTTCCAATTTTGCACTTCTGAATTCTCAAGGTACAACCCAAAACAGCACTGAATCCAGGTACAAAAAAGTAAACGACCGCACAATATAAAAACCGCTTGTGTTCGCGTCGTTGGATCATAAATAAAAAATGGAAAAATAATCCATCCATCGCTAAGAGAGAAAGAAAGAGAGCCAAAAATTCTGAGAAAAAAAAAAAAAAAAAAACGTTCGAAGGTTCTGTTTTTTGAGATTTCTCTCTTCGATCTCAGGGCTCTCTCCCTTTGATCGAACCCTAATTCTCCAAATTCGCAATAATCTTTTTCCTGAATCAGATCACTCTGTGAAGCTTTTATCTGTATATGAATTCATCGTCATCACTGATAAATTTCCGATCTCTGATTTCACTTTGTGTTCTGAAGGTAACGATTATTTGATACGTGTAGAAGGAGAAGGTATCTGATTCCATGGCGTGTGTGAAAGGGGTGAATAGATCGGCTTCGGTGGCTCTGGCGCCGGACGCTCCTTACTTGGCGGCGGGGACCATGGCTGGAGCAGTGGATCTGTCCTTTAGCTCCTCCGCGAACCTTGAGATCTTCAAGCTTGATTTCCAGAGTGACGATCGTGAGCTTCCCATCGTAGGTGGGTCCCCGAGCTCAGAGCGATTCAACAGGCTTGCTTGGGGCAAGAACGGATCTGGTTCTGAGGACTTTGCGCTTGGACTCATTGCTGGTGGCCTTGTTGACGGCAACGTTGATATCTGGAATCCACTCGCGCTGATCCGGTAATTGAGCTTTTTGTGCATTCATCTATAATGTGTGCACATACACTTGCCTTTGATTTGCTGATTGCTGTTGCTGAATTAGACTGAATTGAAAACGGGGCAAAAGAAGTATATTGTTAAGGATATGTTTTTAGGAAAACCTCATCAATTTGCTAAATTTTATTCGTTTTATTGTTTGGTGCTAAACAGAACTCTAATTTGGAAAATGAGAGTATATATATATATATATATATATATATATTGTATTGGAGTGAATTGCTTATATCTCAGGAGTTTTAAGTGCTCTAGGGGATTTCGAGTGTTTATGGGTGTTGGGAAAGATCATGATTGTTTACCGGGGATTATGCTGGACTGTGAACCCTTGCACATTGAGATGTTTTATATGGATAGCCTTTCAATTTGTAAGTTTGTGTGTAGTGTCATTTCTTGAGATATAGGAGAAATGGAGGATTATTGAGATATGAATATTTGTCTGTCTTTTGCCAGATAATTGTTTGCAATTTTTTGGGAATTTATTTATCACACATTTTCTTTGAAGGTTTTGTCAGGCATTCTTTTAGGTGTTTGTATCTAAATGAAATGAACCCATGGGGAACACTATATTCTTTGCAATGTTGTTGATGAAAATTTTATGTTATCTTGTTCACTAGTGTAGACCCCAATTGATTTAGTCATAATTTTTTCCCCAGATCTGAGCCCAGTGAAGGAGCTGTTGTTGGACATCTTTCAAGGCACAAAGGGCCTGTAAGCTCCCTTTCCTGTGATGCTTATACAGTTGCCTGTAGCTACGTGTTACATTGCTTATGAGGAATTGATGATTGCATGGTTGTGTTTTTTCCTCCTTGTTTCAGGTTCGTGGTCTTGAGTTCAATGCTATTGCTCCAAACTTACTAGCAACTGGGGCTGATGATGGTGAAATCTGCATTTGGGACTTGGCAGCGCCTGCAGAACCGTCACATTTTCCACCTCTGAAGGTATGCAGTAAAGACTTGTAGCTTTGTCCTCATGCTTCCATCTATCTGCCTACCCCCATAAATGATTTTAAGCATGCATCTGACAACTCAATTCCTATCTGTTTTATACTTATGAACTTCTGGTTACTTAATGATTTTGATGATGTGGACTGTACTGTAAAAAGAGGCTTCTCAAACCACTTTCTCTCACTTAATACTTGTGAATCCATAGGAGATTGATAGTATGGGCATGGAACACCAACACATGATGCCTTTTGTGGCAATGAGTTTGCTTAGATGATTGTAAGGGCTCAATTTCCTTGAATCACAATATTCATATTGGTAGAACCAAGGCTATGATTTTTAACAGCTGATTCTAGATTTGAAGTTTGTATTTTTTCTTCTGCAATGCAACATCTAAATGTTACCTAATAACCAATTAAAAACTGTAACTCTCTGGATTTAATGCATTAGATAAAAGTAGATTGTGCTCCATTTTTGTTCCTTGTTATATTTTGAAGTTTTGGAATGAAAAGAATGGATGATATCTATAAATGCCTCCTACTGATATTGCCGATGGTATCTTAAATCTTCAGGGCCTTTAATGTAGTTGATGTTCAAAATTTGGAGGAGATATCTTTAACCTGATCATTAATTGTGAATAAATCTTGAGAATCCATCTTTTATATGATTTATGTTGGATATTTATGCTTAATTGATTTTTTTTTCCTGATACTTAATTCATTCCAATTCATTTAATATTGATCTCTTTCTCTCTTTATTCTCTGTTTTTATGCTTAAGTAAATCTATTGGGGCACCTAATCCAGTTTTTGTGGTCTGCATGCAGGGTAGTGGTTCTGCTGCTCAAGGTGAAATTTCTTTTGTTTCTTGGAATAGCAAGGTTCAACATATATTAGCATCCACTTCATATAACGGAACAACTGGTGAGAAAATAACTGCACTGATTATTGGATTTTTTTTTGCTGTATCTGAGAGTGCTAATAATATTCATATTATGTATTCTCATCTTTCCAGTGGTTTGGGACTTGAAGAAGCAAAAACCCGTCATAAGGTAGATTTCTTGCTTGAGTTATAATTTATAATACCTGTACATCTATTATATAAGCTGACATTATATCTATGAATCAACAGTTTTACAGATTCCATTAGAAGACGCTGCTCTGTCTTGCAGTGGAATCCAGATGTAGCGACTCAGCTTGTTGTTGCATCAGATGATGATGGTTCACCTTCTCTGAGGGTAATGATCTCAAAGATGATATTTACTTCTTCTAAGGTTTTTTTTTTTTCTTTTTTAAATTGTGGTGTTTTTTGGTGAGCAGCTTTGGGATATGCGGAATGTAATGTCACCAGTAAAAGAGTTTGTGGGCCACACTAAAGGTAATCATGGCAAAGAGATACTATACTGTAGAACTTACTGGTTTTGGTTAATGTTTACTTAACTCCTTTCATGAGAATGGATATTTAGGTAAAAAAAAGAAAATAGAAAAAAGGACTGTTAACTATTTGGCCATTTTTATCGAATTTTGATGCATTGTTTTTCCAAGACATTTTCCTTAGCTACTTTAGCAGTTATTTCTTCAAGGCATATTATCCTAAAATTTCTATTCATTATTATTTCAAGGTCTTTTTTCATATGTTTGATCATGTCCATTGCTCCAGGTGTAATTGCAATGTCATGGTGTCCCATAGACAGCTCCTATTTGATTACCTGTGCAAAAGATAATCGTACCATTTGCTGGGACACGGTTACTGGAGAGGTAGGCAACTGAGTTAATGCACTTTTACCTTCCTTCTAGTAGCCTGGGTTTTCTTTGTGGTGAATATATTTTAGGTTATGATTTTTTTTTTTGGGTACAGATTGCTTGTGAATTGCCAGCTGGTACCAACTGGAACTTTGATGTACACTGGTATCCGAAAATACCTGGTGTTATATCAGCATCTTCCTTTGATGGAAAAATTGGAGTTTACAATATTGAGGTGTGTGGTTATTGTATTTAATTAATGAATTTTTTTTTTTTTTTTGACTTTTGGCCACTTTTGGCAAGTGTTCTAAAAGCAAATTAGACACTCCTTTGAGAGGCAAATAGTGAAACTTTTGAGTTAATGATTACTCCCTCTGCTCGATACATAACATTTGTTTCCCCTCCTTGCAACCTCCTACTCCACTGACATACATAAAAACCTTACCTCATTTGTCCATATTTGACATTTTCTCATCAGACATTAATTCTTTTGGGTATTTTCATCTACTTTTGTAGGGTTGCAGCCGGTATGGTGTAACAGAGAGTGATTTTGGTGCAGGTAATATATTTTGCAGTTAATGTTGGTTACTTCCCATATTTTTACATATTTTTTCATTTTTATTTCGTTGTTCTGCTTTATTATATATTGGTGTTGCTTATAGAATTTGTGAAAATCATAAATTAATTAGTCCTTAACACACTCTGGCAATATAAGGTGCAAAACATTAGAGACCTAGGGATTTATTTTGGAAACAATGGAAATGCTTTATTTGCACCTTTTCTGTTTTATGCTTTTGTTATCATCAATTAGAATCAAGAATTTGAGAGTCCTTTTTATTATACATGTTGCTCTCTCTCTGCAGTGCCTTTGAGAGCTCCAAAATGGTATAAACGTCCTGTTGGGACATCTTTTGGTTTTGGGGGTAAACTTGTCTCTTTTCATCCTCGGCCATCTGCTGGTTCAGAGGTAAAGAGTCTCATAAATCCCTTTCTTTCTTTCTTTCTTTCTTTCTCTCTTGTTCTTTTCTTTTCTTTTTTTTCTTTTTTTTCTTTTTTTCGGCCAGCCTTTTTCAACTCTGGGTTCTTGTTGACCTACATGATATCTCCAGGTTCTTGTGCATAATTTGGTTACTGAAGAAAGTTTGGTTAGCCGCTCATCTGAATTGGAGGCTGCAATACAGAATGGGGAGAGGCCTTCAATAAGGGTTTTATGTGAGAAAAAATCTAAGGAGTCTGAGTATGTTTTCTGATCTAAGAAATAGAAGTCATTAATCTATTGCTTCTGTATCAAAAGATTGGTTAACAACTAATGCTTTTATTGGTCTGACTGGGATGTATGAACAGATCTGAAGATGACCGGGAAACTTGGGGCTTCTTGAAGGTAATGTTTGAAGATGATGGTACAGCTAGGACAAAATTGCTCATGCATCTTGGTTTTAGTTTACCTACAGAAGAAAAAGACACCACTGCAGAAGACCTCTCTCAGGGAGTAAATGGTGTTATACTTGGGGATAAAGTGGAAGATAAAGTTGAATATGATGCACAGAAAGAAGATACCATCTTTGCTGCTGATAATGGGGAAGATTTCTTTAACAATCTTCCAAGTCCCAAAGCTGATACACCTGTGTCAGCTTCTGCTAATAACTTTACTGTTGAGAGTTCTACTGCAAATGATCAAGTGCATGAAGAACCAGAAGAACTGGAAGATGGTGCTGATCCATCATTCGATGATGCTGTTCAACGTGCTTTGGTTGTTGGAGACTACAAGGGAGCTGTTGCTCTTTGTGTATCAGCAAATAAAATGGCTGATGCTTTAGTTATTGCTCATGTTGGTGGCACTTCCTTGTGGGAGAGCACACGTGATCGGTATCTCAAGATGAGCCACTCACCTTACCTGAAGGTAAATTAAATTTTAATAAACAACAAAGTTTATCTTATACCTTAATAAACTGGATGGGTGGATATGATTTTTATTTTTTCATTCATTGACGCTTACTATTATTATTAATTGGTAGCTTGGGGGGTATTTCTATTTTACTAACGTTATTATGTTTCCAGATTGTCTCTGCAATGGTGAACAATGATCTCATGAGCCTTGTAAACACTAGACCTTTGAAATTCTGGAAGGAAACTCTTGCTCTCCTCTGTACAGTAAGTTTCTATCTTAGAAAATTTAGATATGTTTTACTGTTATTACAAACTTATTCTCATCATTGGTGAGCAGTTTGCACAAAAAGAGGAATGGACTGTGCTGTGTGACACACTAGCTTCAAAACTAATGGGTGCTGGTAATACTCTGGCAGCAACTCTTTGTTATATATGTGCGGGTAATATTGATAAGACAGTGGAGATTTGGTCAAGGAGCTTGGCAAATGAACATGAGGGAAAATCTTATGTTGATCTTCTTCAGGTGAGTTGCTACTTCCAGAAGATGCATTCATACCTAAGTTGTCTGGCTAGAAAACTGACCAAAGATCTTTCATTTGTAGGATCTGATGGAAAAGACTATTGTCCTTGCTTTGGCAAGTGGGCAGAAACGATTCAGTGTGCCTCTCTGCAAGCTTGTTGAGAAATATGCTGAAATTTTGGCTAGTCAAGGGCTTCTCAGTACAGCTTTGGAGTACTTGAAACTCCTGGGATCTGATGAATTGTCACCTGAACTTGTGATCTTAAAAGATCGTATCACTCTGTCTACAGAACCTGGTATATGCTTTAGTGATGCCTAACAATCATTGTACCTGTGAACTGGCCATGTGAGCTATTAGTGCTCATTTATGGATTATGGTCACATATGTTAATTGAGAAAAGCCTGTAATGTCTTGTGCCTGCTAAATTTATTCTTCTATTATTGCAGAGAAAGAAACTAAATCCAATGCTTTCGACAACTCTCAACTACATGGTGGATCAGTCTTTCAGCCTTCACAGCAAATTTATCCGGTGCTTTATCTTCTAATTTTGTTTTAATTGATCTGTCTGTGGTTCAATTCTCTTTTATAATCCGTTGGTTTACTGTGAATAACTTTATTGGTTTATTTTTATCTTATTCCTTAGGATTCAGCTTCATCACAAGTTCAACGAAGCATTCCTACTCCTTATGATGATAACTATCAGCAACAATTTTCTCCCTATGTGGGAGGATATGCTCCTCCTGCTACTTATCAACCTCAGGCACCACCTGCTAATATTTTTGTCCCATCACAGGCTCCTAATGTCACACAGGTATTTTGTATCTTACTATCTTTCAAGCTCGGTGAACTGGATTAGTTTAAATACTAGAAAAGTGGTAAGAGATGGTGGTTTTAAACTTGGTTCTGGAAAACTAGAATGTGGAACCTGAAACAATCCATAACACCATCCTACATTTGTGCTCAAAATTACGCATGAAAACAAAGATTTTGGGTGGTTTAGGAAATTGAAAGCCACTGGGAAAAAAAAAAAAAAATTTGATACTCTGCTTTCCTATAGTATATAATATTGGTCCAAACAGATCCAAGGATGATCATTTCTACAAACTTTTGTGTTGCTCTCAAGTCTAGCTTGACCTTCGGATTCTTGTTATCTGCACCATGTTTTCTCCTATATATAACTAATAATTTGCTTCCTGAAGGCATGGCATTTGTTTAATTTGCTCTAGTTATTACAGGCTAATGAGTGTCAATAATTTTTTATTCTGACTAGAGGTTTTTTCTTTTTTCACCCCTTCCTTCCAGGCAAATTTTGCTCCTCCTCCTGCCACCACTCAGCCTGCAATGAGACCTTTTGTCCCTTCCAATCCTCCTGCTCTAAGAAATGCAGACCAATATCAGCAGCCACCCACATTGGGTTCTCAGCTATATCCTGTCTGTACAGCTACTTCACTTTCATTTTGATGTTCTAGACTTGTTTCTTAGGCAGGTATTCTAAATGATTTGCTGTCTCAATGTTTCAGGCTTCTGCAAACCCTACTTATCCTGTTCAACCAGGACCTGCTGCACATAGCCCTGCCCCTCCACTAGGGGGCTTGGTTCCTGGCTTAAAAATGCCACCTGCTGTAGCGCCCAACCCAACATCTACTGGTTTTATGCCAATGCCCCATTCAGCTGTTGTTCAAGGCCCTGGAATGGGTACAACTCAACCACCCAGCCCTGCACAGCAGCCATTGGTACAACCAGCTGTGGCACCTGTAGCTCCACCACCAACTGTGCAGACTGTTGATACTTCAAATGCACCCGGTAAATCCAAGTTTCTTAGTTGATTTTTTTATGTGTTCCAACATTTTAAAAACCAAATCTCATTCACTTTCCAAAATGCTGGTTTTTGATTAAAAAAAAATGATGTGATAAATTCTTTTGAACTGAGTTCTGCTTCTTCTTTTCAGCACACTATAGACCTGTAATCACAACTTTGAGTAGGCTTTTCAATGAGACATCGGAAGCACTGGGAGGCTCACGTGCAAATCCAGCTAAGAAGCGGGAAATAGAGGACAATTCAAGGAAAATAGGTGCCTTGTTTGCCAAACTCAACGGTAATGACTTATCACCCACTGCTTCTGATAAGCTTATTCAGCTCTGCCGGGCTTTGGATGGTAATGATTTCAGCTCAGCTCTACAAATCCAGGTATAGTTTTGGAAATAAAGTATATACATTTCTCTCTCCATGCAATTGTTGGCAATTGAAAATTTTTTTCATCTTTTTATCCCTTGTTTCCTGAGACAGGTAAATCTCACCACTACTGACTGGGATGAGTGCAACTTTTGGCTAGCTACACTCAAACGAATGATTAAGACAAGGCAGAATGTGAGATAAGAAAAAGCTAAAAACATCCACAAGTATGTCATCTCCAGCTAGCAGGTTTTCATTTGTGTAGTAATACACTTGAGGCTTGGATCAGTCGTTGGACATTCACAGGAATGGTTTCTATTGATTGCATACTTCAGGGTTTTGGTTCTTTGGTATTCTACTTCCCTCCCACAAGATATTGACTTGGCTTTCGCAGTAATTCTCTTTTTGAGAAGCATCAGTTAGGGGGAGATAGTTTTGGGACAAGTTTACGGTTTGTGGTTTTGTATTTTTTGTAGTCTTATCAAGAAATTAGAGTCGGTTCTTTTTTAGTTCATAAATTCTTCACCCTTAATTTTTTGGCTGAATGCCATATTAGTGAGCCTTTTGTTTTATAAGTACCTTGTCCAATTTCTGCATGGCCATTAGCTGTATAACCCACATCCCTTGCACTTATTACCAAATTAAAAACACGGTTTTATTCATGCTTGTGTTTCCATTGAGAATGTCTGTGCAGGCGTTGCTCTAATGCCACCAGTTCTGTAAAGGTCAACTCAACAATCTCATGCTGTTATCCTAGATTGTAGGTAAGCCTGTTATCTTGGAATTCGGCGGTCGAGTTTTTCGAATTTGCAATATTGCTACCATGTGAATGTAAATGTAACACACCAGCTGAGATGGTGAGAGGAGGTTAAAAAAGGGGGTTGAAGTGGACCTAAATAGAAAGCGTAAAATCTAAGTTAAAACCTCAATTTGATCCTTTTATTTTGATAAAAAAATTTCTTTTTAGTTCTTTTACTTAAAAAAAGTTTTCTTTTGTTCTTAAAGTTTGAAATTCAGTTTATTTGTAGTTATTTCGTTAAATTTTAACATTAGATTGTGAAAATTTCAAAGTAAAGAAATAAAAAAAAGATTTTTTTTTTCAAAATAAAAAAATCAAATTGAGGTTATTTTAGTCATTTTTTGTTTTTTTTTTTTTTTTGAACATATTTGCAAGGGGCGGGTTTCGAACCTAGCCCGGGGAGGGGGGAATGCACCGGGGTAGCTATTGCCACTAGGCCTCAAGGGCCAGGTGCCATTTTTTGTCTTTTTACTTTAAATTTTTATTATTTAATGTATCACATATGTAAAATTTAATAGAAGAACTAAAAAGGGTTAGATTTCAAATTGTAGATCAAATTTCAAACTTTAGATATTAAAAAGGAATTTTTTTAAGTGGAAGGATTAAAAATAAATTTTTTTATCAAAATAGAAAGATTAAAATGAGGAGTTAACCTTAAAATCTATCATTCTTTTTAGACTTTTTCGCAGAGGAGCAAATTAGTAAGTATTTACACCATAAATTGCAAAATTTTAAATTAATGCCACGTGTAAAATTTTTATTGACTGGAGGAGTTTGAGCGATGTCAGATTCGGATTCTGGGCTTCATGACAGATCAGCACATGTGTTGGCAATATATGAGAGGTAAAGATAATGTTTTATGGAGTAATTATCTTCTTGAAACATAAGAGATAATGGCAACTGAAAAATAGGAGAGGATCACAATTAAAAAGGGGATTTTATCTGATAAAGCACAAGTAGCGAAATCTGAAAGGAAATTAGACTAGGTCAAAAGGTGAGGTATCCCACTACTCCAACAAACTATCCATGGTTGAGTAACTGCCGGCACAAGAAGAACAAAAAGGGAACTTTGGCAAGAGGAACAGACGGCCAGCTCTACTCAAACAACTGCAACTTTTCATACTTGGATTTTCTCTGCACATGCTTCCAGATTTCGATTTTTCAGCACAGATTTCGTATTTCAGCACAGATTTCATTAGAATTAGGTTGTTTTTCCTCATTCCAGTAGACAAATTTATTCCTATATTCAGTTAAAACAATTTTCTTTCATGCAATGAACTTCAATCCTTCAAGTTTATGCAAGGTATTGTTTTCTTTTCATTTGTAATTAATTTAATGTTTATGTTAAGTAGCATTGCTTCAATGATTACTTATGTGGCCTTCAAGCTTCTTTCCAATTTCAAGTTTCTTCAATTTATTCACTGTTCACGTTATTTATTCACTGTTCACGTTTAATTTCAGTGCTAATTTAGGAGTAAATTTCCAGTTCTGCAGCAATTTAATTTCTGAATCTGTCAATAGATTGCATTTTAATTTTATCATAAGCATGTTTAATTTAGTTTAAGTACATTTATTTCTTGCAAATTTACTTTAAATTGCAGGTAATTTAGAGTAATTAGGATCTGTTAATTTTAAGTCACGGTAGTGTTTTAAGTCCTTGGAGTTGTCCAAGGCAGATTTCGTAACCCATTCTACAAGAAGGTATCCCTCCCTCGTGCAAATCATCTGAAGGCGCAATTTCAATTTTAATTCAACGTTCTTCCCGCCATCTATGAAGAGGTCGACCGTGAGGAAGGAGAGGGTCGTTGGGAAAGTCCTCCTTTCTTACTTTCAACAAAGTAAGTGGCATACCCGCAACTAGATTTTACACGTGCGATGTCACTAGAGGATTTTTGAGGAAACAGTAAAAGAAGCAAATAAAGATTACTCCCGAATGAAGATGTTGAGTATATAGCTAAGCTAATAGCTAAGTACCCTTACCGTGATGGAAGATCTTGTGTAGAAAATTGAAGATGTTGAGTATATAGCTAAGCTCATAGCTAAGTACCCTTTCCGTGATGGAAGATATCTTGTGTAGAAAATTGAAGATCTTGTTTGTGACATAACCGAATGAAGTGAAAGAAAGTGATAAATAGACTCTCTGTTACTGTGTAATTTCAAATCTTTTAAAAAAATCAATTAGAGTCTAGTATTTCTAATGTCATATTGATATTTTATTTTACCAATTGACTTAAATTTTTTTTTTTTTTTTGGCTACAACTATTATTACTCATAAAAATTAATGTGTAGATCCAGTGAAGGCTTAGCAGAAATTTTTCATATACCTCTTTTTTTTTAAAATTTATAAGTGGTGATATAAAAATAATTTTTTGTACTATTTTTTAATATAATTTTTATATATGATTAAATGAATAAATATATTTAATATCATAAATTTTAAATAAATTTAAAAAAATTAATTATTTAAATAATACGTAAAATAATATAAAAATTTTTTTTTTAATTATTATTTTTATTAAGGTAAACCTAGTACGAAAAATTATTATACATGTTGGATTAATCCGCCTTCCAATACCCGAAAAATAAGGACAGGTAACCGTCTGCTCAAAGAGGAAAGAAAATCAAAAAAATCAGAAGGACGAAATCCCTAAACATTCTGGCCAGAAATTTTTTAGGAACGCGCCCAAAGCCGCGTACTCTTCAAACGCCCTTTCATCAATTTTGCATCGCGTGAATTGAGGGAAGAACAGCCAACAACCTGTCGACATGACAAACGCCGTGGTCAACGGTCCCGACACCACCCACGGAAATCGCAACTTTCCGGCTATCGCCTTCTTCAACGCGATCTCCAACGTTAAACAGAATCCATGAATCAAGAAGAACCACGTGATTTCCCAATTAGGCCTCAATCGCCCCAGGTAATAGAAGATGAGCTCGTGCATTACCGCCGATACCAGAAAAGTGGAGAATACGGCCGGAAGAGGAGCCCACTTCCGGCCGATGATTTTTGAGGCGATTTTGAGGGTGGGTTCGTAGACGGTGGGGCGGAGGATGCTGGTGACCATCAGATTCCATCTTTTTCCCCAGAAATCTTGTAAGGAAGTTGCGAGGTATGGCTCATTGAACTGTGGCTCAAGCTCCAGTCCTAACAGGGCTCGGACCAGGGTTGCACTTATGGCTAGGATGAGTTCAAGCAAAAAATAGATGTGGAAAGCATATAGAAGGAGGATCAATTTTGGATGCATATATTCACTGTAATCATATATGCGCACCAAAATGGCCAAAAGAATGCCCTTTAATGCATAATTTAAAGGACCTTCCTTGTTTAGATTTTGGCCATTTTGATTGGATTTTTTTCTGCCATCTCCATTTGGTTGTGATTTAGGAGATGGGTTTTGTTGGACCTTGATGGGAAAGCATGAAACAGCTATAAAAAGAGGGAAAGAGAGGTATGAGGTTAAAGGTCCTTTTCCAAAAGCAAAGAGCAAGAGCTTGAAGTTTGCAAGCCAGGCAATGAAGAAGCCTGTAACACCACCAAGGTGTGGAGAGGAGAGATTAAGAGGGAGGAAAAGGAAGAGACAAATGATAGGGAGGAAACATATGAGTCTTTTGGTACCCTGGGGTACCTTCCTGCCAATGGCATAGCAATAGCATAGGGATGCAATTACCGATAGCCATACCTTCATGAAGCTGAGGGTCTCTCTCTCCATTTCTCTCTTGGCAGTTAATCAGGGTTCAGCCTTCGAACAGGGATTCCTTTGCTGAGAGATCAGATCTATCTAGGGTTCAAGATGAAAAAGGAAACATTACTGCAACTCCCTATAAAGAAATGAGGCCCTTTTTTTCTCTTTTGAGTCGAGAGTCAATGAAAAGGGCTAGCTTATTTATTTCCTAGCAATAATAATATTTATGAAAATGGAGTGGTGTTACTATTAAGCTCAACAAATCCTGGATGAAAATAATGGCTGATGGAAATGTCTCAATCTAAAATAGCATTAGGCACCACCACAACCCATTCAATGGGGCTTGCCTTTCTCCACTTAGGTAAAGTCAACTTAATGGGAATTAAGCTAAGCAATTAGCATCCTAAGTTAAGGTCAAATCATGGTAGATATTTTTTTCCAAGTTTTAATGAAGTCAATAAATACACTAACGT